GCGTTTCCTTTAATCATCTTCGATCACAGTTATAAAGTAGGTTATTCGAATGAGCGAAGAAAGGACAAATGTCTTGGTTTATTTTGGAGTGCGAACAAATGAACCACATTGGTGTCCTATAATGAATCCAATCAAATTCTCTTCTTCTCCCTTTATTAAAACCGACCAACTATAATAGTTACACAAGCTTTCATCATTCACTTTCTCGATCGTTCCGCTTTCAAAGTTTTCGCGCCTAACATCGAATGTATAATTAGCAATTACCGACTTTTTCAACGGTACATTCTAGATCGGTTGTATCCGTAACAACCGAGAAATCGGTGGGAGTTTTTAACGCAAATTTAAACGGAAATAATTTATTCACAAAGTTGGTATTAAGAACTTGAGAACTATGATACCTATACAAATTTTCAGATATTAGAAAATGTAATTTGGAAAATTGATCTGTAATTAATTTTTCATGAAAAATATTCTTCAATGAGAGTTTACTTTCAAGCTTGTTCGTCAAAATATCTAACGCTGCTGAATGCATGATAAAATATTGCAACATTGCGTAATCAATAACGCATCTGCGCAGTATGATGATAGGTAGTACACGTATGCAAGTTAAACGTATTCTAAAGAGGTGTGTAAAGCGGAATGTGTGTCCGCACATTGCAGATAAAAATAGATGTAAAACATGATCTGATGAACTATTACGAAGTTACTCGTCGGTTTGAGTTTTCATGTCGCTGGTCGCTGTGTCTTCAGAATATGCGCATACGATCACGTACACTTGATAAACAAAGTCGACGATCCTTCACATTGTCTCTTAGTTTAATCACATTGAAATCTATTTACTATCATTCTTTGTGAAAAGATTCGTAAAACGTGTCATAAATGCGATAAAATGCGGAAGTTATTTCGCGCGACGAAGCAACTTATCAAAGGATGCTTTGTCGCTTGTGATTAAAATGCTTATTATCTAAAAGACATTTTAATCGTTTTAAAACACGAAACTATTTAATTACAAACACTGTTCTAAATTAAAAAAATAATATATTACAAAAATTAAAAATGTATTCCCATTCAAGAATTTAAAATCACATACATAATATAATTTTTATAGTATTAACCTTCATTCTAATATAAAATGTAAATAAATTGTTTTATTTTTGCGTGTATTGAATTTTGGAGTAAATTAATTTTTATCAATTGATTGGCTTTGTATGGTTTATAACTAATGTTTTTACGCGAGGAAAGATCGGTCAGTGTTGGAAGTTCACGGTCAAAGATTACTATTAGAACTCTTCTACCAAGAATTTCCGCTTGAGGGACCGAGGGACATGCAAAACGCATTTCATTTCTTTCATCTTCCTAATGGCATTTCTCGTTTTCATCAGAAGTCATTCATTATTTCGAATGAATGCGGCAGCAATAACAATAAAAGAGAATGATTATGTGCGAAGTACCATTTGATATACATTTGCCCTGTTTTTAATAAAATGATTAAAGTTCTAGTTTTCAGATTTCTATTTTTATCTCGCTAAGCTATCATTAGATTTATCTTCTTTCAAAAATATTAATTAAATTAAATTATACACTCAACTTGATATAATACTGCAGGCATGATATTTATAAAACTATAATTCGTGGGATTAAAAACTTCATTTATTTTAGGATTCACGCAATTGTTGTTGAAAATATAAATTGTGATATATATTAATTTCTACTATAAATAATAATTTTAATATTTTGCAATGATGCAATTTAAATACATGAAATTTAAATACATTATAATATAATGATGCAAATGTATGTAAATAATAAAAATATGTGTAAAAAATAATAATATAATATATATATATTTAAAAACTAAATTGTTGTTACAATAAGCAAATTAATTTAATTTAATTATAATTATAAATTATTATATAATTATAATTATAAATTAATTTAATTATACGTCAAATTAAATAAATTCAAATTTAAGTTGTATATAATTCTTTAATTTAATTTATTAATAAACGAAGGTTAATGAGAGAGATAAGAAGTCATTAATCTTTGCAACGAAAAATTTACTGATTGCAACGCAATAAATTTGATTATTTTATAACTTGAGTCTTGAGTTATACTTTCATGTGTTATTTACGACGATGCTCTATATCAATACAAAATTAATACGCATTTGATATCGACCATATGCAGTTATCTATATTATCCTTTTATTCTGCGCAATCGAATCTATCGTGTGCTAAAAAGTTATTCTATCTTTGGTTATCATATCGGTCACATGTGATAAATATATACTGATAAATCAAGAAAGATCTTGCTTTTCAATCGCGCACATTAAATTGCGAGCAAAATAAAAGAATTGTTATCTTATTGAAAATTATTTAAAAATAATGTGTTGATACTCGACAATGTCCAAAGGTAATAAACTCAGAATTTGTGAAATTGTTGCGTAAAATCGTAGATATATAAAAAGTGACAGTTCAAAGCGGTGTATGCTCGTTGAATATATTTGCCCATTAAAATAATAAAACACTAATTGATGTATGAATTATCGTTTAATAATTTTAAAGAAGAAAATAGGCGATCACCATGTTCACTTTGTGAACATCACAGTTAACTTTGATAAATAAAAAACTTGTGATAAATAAAAAATTTATTCTCATGAAACGTATCATATCAGAAGATAAAAAATATAGACTATCACGATCACGATTCAATTAATAATATGATAACATGCGAATAACGAAGATATTCAATAAAAAATATTAAATTTTTCAAATTAAAGTCATTTCTAGATTCAGCTTTCAGTTTTTCATTTTACATATCGAATTTATATATCAAAAATTCATATAAGAATGCCATTTAAATCTATTGAATATTTAATAACAGAAAGCATCAACTAAAACCAGCGCTGTGTGAGAAACCTGCCTTTTTCTTGAACACGTTTCCGAAGGCGAGTCCGGTGAACGTTTGCATTTTACTCTGCATACCAGTGCGATTTCCGGAACAACGATCGGCCCAGGAAGGAAATTCACTATCTGCACAGGGCGGCAGCCAGCCGCAGGAAAAACGGTCTTGTAGCGTCACGACGCAACATGATCCTCGCATTCGCGATTTCCCTTCTCACGGGACGAAGAGGATCTCAATCACACAGCCGTCGAACAGTCGATCCACTTCACGTACTACCGGGAATATCCGCTTTCTTCCCTCCGGCACCTGAGAGTGCATCCCCGAATGCATGCCTGAGAATATTCCGCGAAATAACTCCAGGAACGTATTGGGAATTTTTTTTATTTAAATCCAAAGTGTCAAACCGATTTTCCCGTCATAAGAGTGCATTGACGCGAGGTCTTGCCGAAAAGTCTTTTTTCCAAAAACGAGGAAAATAAGACTTGTAGATATGTTAGACTGTACACACACACACATACACACACACACACACACACACACACACACACACACACACACACACACAAAGAATGATTTTTACTAAAATACATATCTAAAAATTTAGCTACAGAATGGAAAATAATTTTGGACTATCAAATTAATTATGTTCAATTGCATAATGGACAATGCTGCAAAAAGTTTTGACATTTTAGAAATCAGCTTGAGCATTCAAATATAATTATTTTGAAATTATACACTTTTCTGAAGTATCTAAAAATTTTAGTTTGTTGTAGATCTAAAAATAATTTTTGTTAAACTGCTAAAATAATTGTGTAGAAACGCTCAAACTGTTAAAATGCTAAAACTTTTTGTAGCATTGCTTAATTATCATGTTTGAATTTTCTAAATAATTATTTTGATAGTGTAATAAAATTGTTTTCAGATGTGTACACCTACATGCATAACAGTTTTGCGAAAATATTTAAAATTTAGTTAGACATAGATCTGAAAATAATTCTGTTAAACTGTCAAAATAATTATATAGGATGCTCAAATTGGTTGCTAGAATGTCAAAACATTTTGCAGCATTGCTCATCATACTTGAGTCTTCTATATATTTTGATGATCCAATAAAATTATTTTCAGATCTGTAACTACCTGAATTTTTAGATACTTCAGCAAAATGGTTTTCTCGTGTAGCTAAATTTTTAGATATTTTAGCAAAACAGTTCTTTCATGCACTCGTAGACGAAATCAAACTTTCAAGCTATAATCCTCGATCTAAGATATTCCTAGTACCACAATATTGTCATAAAATTTTCAATTTAGTGATCGACGAGATAACTATTTTAGCGATTACTAACAAGTACACGTGTCACGCTCGATCTATTTGCAACAACGATGAATTCTCTCCACAGCCAATTTACGCGCGTAAAGTTGGACGCGTACAAAAATAAGACAGTGGAACGAAGTATCTGGGCGAGAGAAGTAGGCCTTCCCCCTTATCCAAGATTAGGAAAAGCCACCGCAGACTCTATAATGGATCCGGCGCTTCATACTTGCGAGTATTTTAGTCGACAATCGAAAGTGACGAGAGAGTAAATATTATCTTTCTGTCGCTGGCCGTCACGCGATGTTTTGTAATTCAATATTTCCCAGTACCAATCTTTAAAAGAAGCCCGACGTGACGTAACTTGAAGTTATACCGATAACGTATATCGCTAAGTTTTTCAAGAACTGTATTTTTCATATTAAACATTCTTTATCTAGATTCTTTATCTATATCATGATATTGTTGAATATATTTTCCAAGATTACAGTCATATTAATACATTATTCATCATTGTAACTTTACATTCATTATTCATAATAATGTAACTTTGAGTACGCGCGGCCTTTAGTTTATTTTCTCAGTGTAATTTCCAAGCTTGATGAATCACATCTCTTGCGAACAAAAATATATATTGCGATAAATAAATAACTTTTGCAATGATAGAGTTGTCTCACCTGCGGATCGAATGTTATTTATCTCTCACATATGAAACATTAGACTAATCTCTTTGAGCGGCTCTATCGAAAAACGCAAGAGAAATCGCGACTCGCGAGGACAGTGAAAAGCGGACGTTTTCTCAGAGCCTCGTAGAACTCGGAAGAATTCGTGGCATCCCCGCGAGGAGATATAAATATTCCCCACGCGGATGTCCAACGCGGAATATTCTCGTGGCGGGACAAAGGCGCGCGCGACGATGCAGCACTCAGGGATAGCACTATTCGCGACGCACCGTAAAGGAGGAACGTGTCACCTCTTCGTCCGGTTTTTCGTTCGAGAAATCGTCGACGACACTGTTTTCTCTCTTCCGCGTGAGAGAGAGAGAGAGTCCCTCCGGGCGACAACTCGCCCGTCACGATACCAGTGGCCAAGAGATAGATAGATAGATAGATAGATAGATATAGAGAGAGAGAGAGAGAGAGAGAGAGAAAGGAAAAAATAAATTCCAGACAAGACGTCGCGTAAGCGGAGGCGGAAAATGCGATGCGACGTCACCGACGTCGCAACGCCCGAGATCGTCCGAGAAGCGTTTCGCAAAGGCGGAATCAAAGTTGGAGCCGGAGTCGGAGTTCAAGACGGCGACGGCGACGGTGACGAGAGCGCACTGTCAGAGGCGAGCGGCAGGCGTGTACTCGTGACCGAGAATCGCAGCAGCCAGCCACTTGCGACACTCTCGTGTACACACACCGCAGGTTTTGGCGAGCGCGATCGGCTCTCGCGGCACGCCGTCGCCGCCGTCGCCGTCCGATCGACGCCGATTGTTCAAGGCCGCCACGTACCGCCGACCTTAACCCTCACGCTAATTATGAGGAATTACGTTTTATCTCCCGGTACACATGAACATGCATATCGCGAGATTCTTTCCAATGTTTTCGTATAATCGGTACGAGAGAGGATCGTCTAAAAAGATATTCCCGGATTTGCACCAACCTTATGATGAGCGGAGATGGACTGGGAAAAACTATTAACGTATTTGATTAGAATTAACACGCACTGGTGCATATTAAAGTTCTTGTACACTGATTAATTTGAATATAAAAGTGAAATACAAATAATTCGAATAATAAAATATTTTATTTAACGATATAATAAAATGTACTAAGAATTTCGTAGTTTAACTCGTTTCTAAATTTATACTACACATATCTTGATATATAGCTTTACGACAATTTATATATGACAGTAAATAATATTTATCAGTATCGAGTTTGCCTAATTGAATTCGTTGTTATTAAATACGAGACATTTTTTCATATTTCTTACATCAAACTAAAATTTTTTCATTCTTTTTCTCTCGATAATAATTTATTACAAAATCAAATATACTTAATATTTAGAAAACAGTACTTAACACTTGAAGATACAAAAAAATATAAATTTTAAGATTTTTCGAATTTTATGTAAAAAACTAAAAATTTATTACGTTATAAAAAAAATACAAGACTTAGATAAAAAAAAAAAAATAATCGATTTAATTTGTTTTTGCTCGAACGTTTGAAACTTAGAAATAAATAATTTTTTAACCGGATTCTCTAAACTTGTTGGAATAATCCGTTGTGATAATAATTGTTAATAAATGGATGAAATGTATCTTCATCTGTGCGATATATTACAGTATTAACAGAAAACATGTCAATAGAACAATTATGAACGTAGCGAAGTCTTTTGTAACATACCGAGCTCACTTCCCTGTCATACTTGTATTTTCTAACAAATGATGATGAAGCGGCTTTAGGCGCCGCGTGACGAAACGACAATGCCCGGTTACTATTTCTGAATACCTGTGGGAGGTGCAACGTGTGCATGCGTCGTGCATGCGAAAACATGCAGGAGCCGCCGGCTTGACGTGATCACATGCGGTTATGAACGAGTGACAAATATGACGTGTGTCCGCTACATATTTTATCAACAAGACATCCAATTGTTATTGAGTCCAATTCAAATATCACCTATCTACAATTCACGACGGGATTTTACGTACAATCTCATATGTACGTAAATAATAAATTTACAGATGTTAAACAATAATTTTCTGAATTCCTGCTTTACGAAATAACATATAATCATATTAGGGAATAGAAATATATGAGATAGAAGTTTTACAACCTGAAAAATATAAGTATAATATAATATGCTGTATAAATAATCAACTATTTTGAAAATAGTTACTAGTTAAGTAATTTAACTTGTATAGATGCAAATTAATTGTTATCCGATAAAACGATTAAATAACTGGTTATTATATTTTATTAGTAAAATTGTATATTTATGCAAAAAATGATTTTTTACAGTCGTATTCAAATGATCTTGTAATCTACGATCCATCTAAAATTTATATATAAAGTATTTGTAATATACTCAGAGAAAAACATAATAATAATAACTGCAAAAGTAATAATTATGCAAGTTTTATTTATAGAATTAATATACTGAGAAAAATTATTTATTTAATTAAATTAATAGTTCACTTGACTGAATTAATTATCTTTATTTCTTTCATTGGAGAATGTATGTATTTGACTTAAATATAATTTTTCATCAAAAGAAATAAAAACAAACGAAATCAATTTAAATGAACAATTTTTTTCTCAGTGTAGTTGAATAAACTATTTTATAAACAAACTATTTTATAATTGTAAAACAGTTTAATTACTTACGTACATTAATTCTACATATGAAACTTGTGTAGCTGTTATCTTTATAGCTATATTTTTTTTCTCTAAATGTAATTATGCGATTTCCTTCTGCGTGTTATCAATCAATTCTGTCATATCGTACATTACGCACAAAAAAATAATTTTGTTATTATTATTTTCTTAAATGTTAAAAGGTATATGTGCGAGAAGATAAACTTGAAACTTTTTGTATCTCCTGTAATTAAAAACTCGTGAATTAGGAAAAGTATAAATAAACCGAACATCTGTGTCAGCATATTCCATATTATTTAACGCGTATTAATTTTTCTTTATTTAGATTCTGCCGACTATTAAAAATTTTCGAGAGAAAAAGATTGTTGAAAATGTTTCGTTACAAATATTATTTTGTAGAGATCATACTAATAAAAATTACTGTTCGATAATCTGAACACTACGACGTTTCGAATTTTTCTCAGTCTCAGTTATTCGACGGAATATTTACAGCATCGTTCTATCACTTCTTGGACATCTTGCCCGACAATTCTACATGAATCAATTAACGCTATTATTTGACATAGTGCCACGGCCTATCCGCAATTTGTCATCGCGTAACGCGTGCTAAACATACCCTGCCCCATTATTGCACGTCAATCTAACGAATAATCATGTATATAAGCGGCCATTATATTCTGCGGCACGGAAGTCGATTGCGGTTTCACAGGAAGCATAACTTTTGGTCGATCTGACGCTATAGTTATTCCAGCCCTGGCCTATTTTCAGAAACGATCGAGAAATTCCAAGGTGAAAATACTGTTGAAACGCGCGATGATCCACGGATCATCGCCCTTTCTCAACCCTTAAGTATATATGCATGTTAACTCCTACGCTCGATTTCTTATGTATTTTATAAAATTATTCTCGGACGTTTATTCAATTTTTAATAGCGATATATCGGAAAATTCACTTAAACTTCTCAATCCTTTTGCTGAATGAAACTCGAAGTGTGTCGCGATAAAAAAAAATTGTACCGTTCTATTTGCTTACTATTTTTCCATTTAATATTTTTCTATGTCAAATATTTTTCCACGATTTCCTAATAATTTTTTTTATATTTAGTACAACATAAAATTTTATCAGTAAAAATTACATTTGAGAGTAACGATTTTTCTTCGGGTCTGAATTAAATTAGATTTTTTCTCAAAATCCTCAAAAGAAAGTGCCTATATAACACACGAATATTTCACATTACCTGTTTCTTGAACCTAGAATTTCATGTTATTTCGAGTATACCTTGCAATTTCCTCTTTTCTGCATTCTTGTTTTGTCCTCTCACATAGAAAATCTCGCTTTCAGAAAAAGTTTAGCTAATTTCATACACTTGGGTTCTTTGGTCATCCGAAAAAGTCGTCGCGATACAGAAGTGCCTGGAATGCACCCCATCAGTATTGACTATTATTAGCACGCTTTCTATTTGCAAGTCGCTCGAAATAGAGAGAAAGATATGCTCGTCCTTCACCGCATGGTTGGTTTTATCGGGTAGGCGGGACAACCAACGAGATTTTTGTATGGTCTCATTAATGAGAGAGTTGCATACGCACAAAAAAAGAATCTAGTCCCCGAATCAGTAACCCGAAAATAATCATGGTACAATTATGAGAAGTCACATTCTTTCGTCACGTCTAAAATTCTGATTGGTTCTCTCTCTCTCTAGATAATAGACGGAATATCTTGAAACGCAAATATTACTTATTCAACTCCCAAGCTAATCGAATAAAAAATATTCATGAATAATTTCTGTTAAAAGTGGTTAGATGATTCTTAATGTTATTGAAGATAAATATTCATGGCATATTAAGAAGTATTAACTTTTCGGTTGCTACTTCGCTTTTTCCATTTACTAGTTAAACTTAATCTAATAATAAATTAAAAATTGTAATGCACACTTTGTATCGCATCGATTTTTTTCTAGCTATGATTAATCACTAAAGTAATGGTTTTGTAGTAACTTTTATTAAATTTCCATACTACAAAATTCAATACTACAAAATCATCAGTTTAGTGATTAATCATATCTAGAAAAATACAAAGTTTAAATTATCATAAAGTTAAATGAAATTAAAAATGAAATTATCTAAAC